AAAAAAAAAAAAAAAAAAAAAAAAAAAAAAAAAAAAAAAAAAAAAAAATAAAAAAAAAAATACATGAGCAAGATAGACTTTTACCCCACTGAAATGGAGAATATCTCGTGAGTGATCAACTCATGCTTAAATCATATGTTTAGGGGTAAAAAAAAATGTAAAAATGTTTTTAAGTATTTAAAAATTCAACCAAGATTGAATTTAATGTCTCTATAACACCTATAATTTAACGGTCTTATAATTTTAATTTAATTTTGATATTCAATTTTAAAATTTGATATCTTAACATACTAAACCCCAAAATTAATCAAACAGAAAATGCCATATTATAATCTTTTTGAAATTTAACCAAATCATAAAATCTAAATTAAAATTTTAGAAACTATGAAAACCAAATAGTTTTAATACCCATATTAAAACTAAGGATCATATATTTAAATATTTATTTTAACAATATTAAAAAAATGTGTACATTATCATTATAAAGATTTTTCATACGCAACACCGAGTAATAAAAAACAAATTAATTTTTTTAAAAATAAAATACAATTAATATCTTACTGAACACAGCCAAATGCTACAAAATGGAGTATTTAAAACGAAAATAAAAGTAATCTTTATTCCAGCTTTAAGAACATTCGTGGCGTCCCACACGAAAAGCTAAATTGCACCTGGAAAATTTGAGATGCTAATACCAAAAAGATAGATCCTTTTTATTGTTCAGAATCCGGTGGCTGAGGCAGTGGCAGTGGCAGTGGCTTGGTGCCTTCTAATTGTTCAGAATCCAAACACATCTTCATATCAGCTATAACTAAAGGGGATAATAGTGTTCTAGTGGTTCAAGTGTTCTTCAGCTAATGATTCTAAGAACGAATTGTCCCAACTGATAAATTCCATAAATGATCTAAAACTCGAAAGGCTAGACTACCAAGAGGGCGAGGCAGTGAATGCAGCTGAGTTTAATCATTGGTTGGCTTTAGCAGCAGCTGCAGATGCTGCCCCATCCAATCCCATACTTCGTAACTCTTTCAAGAAACCGTTGTAATCGTTGTCGCTGATCTTATATGGGCTATGGAGCGGTCCGGGAAATGAACCATTAGATACCTCTTCCTTGTAATCTGATAAAGCTTTGTTGATGACATCTCCAATTTGTGCAAATTGCTTGCAGAATTTCGGGGTCACCTGCAATGGCACATCCAATCCAGGAGTCAAAACACCTTAAACAAACATAGAGAAACTTAGTTGAAACAAAGGTGCGGGCTGATGGTAACCTTAGCATGATGCGGGTGTTGAAGCATGCCGAGTAGATCATGGTAAACTAGCACCTGTGTTTAAGAAATTAGTTAGTCCAGCTGCAGAGGATATTCAACTCTATGATTGTCGTCAAGTAATCAAAGACAAAACGAGCAGCACAATGGACAAGCTTATCAAACAAGTATGGATGATGAAACCAACATTTCTTTAAAGAGAAACTAACAAGTTATCTGAAATATGGAATAAATCATAAACCCCGTCTCTTTTTTTAGTGAAATGCAAGGTCTATTTTCTTCTTCTTAAGCTCCTTTCAATTCGAGGGAGCGGCGTCTGAACCCAAATATTAACAAATCGCTATTTTGCCACCATGACTTGTTACCAAGTAGACATATTTCACTAATCTTGAATATGTCCTCTATGTTCTGATGCATACACTACTTAGGGATTCTCGAAACAATTTAAAGTTAAACAGTTGCAGTTCAGTCTAGCACAATGAACCACTAGGGATTTTCACAACAATTTAAACACTTACAGTCTCTTCGGATATCACGGTGCAAGAATCGAATAACCATAGAACAGGACCATATAGGAAAGCTAAACAAGGATGAACTTCGATGCTTCTCTAATTGAGAACTCGAGAAAGAAACTCCGAGTCCTGAACTCGGGGAAAAAGAAATAGTTTGAAAGAATAATTATATGCAAAGGTCAAACAAAGAGAAGCTAACAAATAACTCAAGGAAAGGAAATACGGTTGGCAGCCCTATATGTATGTACGTGTGTATGTGCATATGGCATGTAAAAGGATGTCTGTGCAATCAACTAACTTGTCCACTACAGAAAGGCCCTGCTCCAATGCCTATGGTGGGAATGCGGAGAGCAGCTGTAGCAGCAGCTGCAACTTCTGGAGGAACACATTCTAGGACGACGGCGAAACACCCAGCTTCTTGTAGAGAGATTGCAGTTTCCACCACCTGCAAAAGATACACTATTCAGCATTTTGCAGCCAAACTGAACACGACAAGCTATGCAACATAACAACAGAAATTGTATCCCAGAAACAACTGCAAACAGTACTAATAAGAAGAGGGAAGTAGGGGAGTGAGGGGAACCTTAACAGCACTGGCGATGTTCTTCCCTTGAGGTCTAAATCCTCCAAGAACACTAATGGCTTGTGGAGTAAGCCCAACGTGCCCCATTACCGCAATTCCTGCTTCGACTATAGCTCTTGCTGCTGTTATTCTAGAATGTGCACCCCCTTCCAATTTTATTGCATCCATTCCCCCTTCCTTCAAAACTCGTACTGCCGTATCAACAGCCTGACAATAGTAAGCAACACTGTTCTGAATAACTTTGAGAATTCAGATGTCGTCTATGATTCTTTCGTCAAGTGGGTATTGATTTGTTTAAGGTTTTAGCATCCTAAAAAGGAGTTGGCATAAAAACAATAGCATAACAGAATCTATCAAAAGAAGATGAACTACAAAAAGGTTAAGTTCTGTCTGTTCGTGCATTTTGAGACATGATGGTGATTAATTTAACTAAGAAATCAAATGGAAACATGTTTAGATTTGAATTTAAGACCTCCCACTTTCAATCCTTTCGATAATGCTAACAAGAGCTTGAAACTGCTTTTACCTTTTACAATCTAGCATGAAAAAAGAAAAATGAATTTCTTAGATTCCCGTGCGGCCCATCTCTAAGCATGGAAATTAGATTTTTGAATAAATCCAGATGGCTATCATTTCATCGAACACCTAAGAGGCAAAAGGAAAATAACCTGAACGGAGCTGGATTCGTAGGTACCAAAGGGCAAGTCGCCGATCAAAAGCGGCCTCCTAGCCCCACGAGCCACAGCCCTGCAATGAACAAGCATTTCATCCAAGGTAATAGGCAACGTGGTGTCGTGGCCGTGTACTACCATGGAAGCCGAATCGCCAACCAAAGCAATATCAATGCCGGCCATATCCAAATGGACCCCGGAGGGGTAATCGTAAGCAGTGACCATGGTGATTGGTTCGCCTTTCTTGTACTTTTGTTTCAGATTGGTGAGAGTGACTCTCTGGTTTGGAGTGTTCGATGTCGGGCCGCCGTAGACCGTGTTTTCAGGGACATTGCTCATGTAACGAAGCGTGTTGAGCAGTGATTGCGATGTGGAACGAACTGCGGCCTTGGTGACGAGGTTGAAGAGCGCCATTGATGGACAGAAATTTGTCTTCGAAAGAAATGGATTCTCACAATCGGTTGGTTGCTCTGTTGCCTGCGAATTAGTTGCAGGTTTTCAAACGTGGAATTCTACAGCCGATAACACGTGTCAAATTCATGCACATCCTTAAAACTTTAAAATAAAAATTATAATATTATAATTTTTATTAATATTTTAAAACTTTTTAATTTTTTTTTTTTTTAATATTCTATCTTCATAATTATTTTTTGTTTGTAGCATTCTAGTTAAGAAATTAAGTCTATTTGTTAATCATTTTTTAATTTGAATTTATTTTTAATGTTGATTAAAAAAAAAGGTAAAATTTTGTGAGCTAAAATGGAAGAGATGTGATTTAAAACTAAGACTTTGGTAAGTCATTCTTCTCATATGCCATTATAAAATATCTATCTTGTTCTTCTTACCGAACTCACTGATAAGAAGATCGTAGCATACGAGATCTAAACGGAATCCCGCCTCTTTCAACTTCGACGTAATAAAGCTCGCATCATCCAACCTTCCACCTTGTGCTAAGCCACATATCAAAGTATAATAGACAATGGCATCAGGATAACATCCAGCTTTCGACATTTCATCCAAAAATTCCATCGCCTTATCGATATCGTCGACTTTGCAAAACGCATTAATGAACACCGTGTAAGTAACAGAGTGCTTATTCTACCATGCTTGCACATTCCATCGACTAAAGTATTTATGGTGATCACATTTGGTGCAAGTTGTTCAGTGACCATCTCATTCAAGAGCTCATGGGCTGTCTCAATTTCGCCCGCCTTACACAGCCCATCGATCAAAGTATTGTACGTGATTGCGTCGGGTGCGACGACCCTCGCCTTCTTTTTTTCCCCTTTCATTTTGTCGAACACCTCTAGTGCATCATCAATCCTTCTGAATTACACAAATGGTTGATAAGAATACCAAAAGTAATAACATTAGGCTGGATGTTCATGTCTTTCATCTTTCTTATCAGCAGATTCATCTTCTCAAATTCCCTCTTCTTTCCCAATCCCGTCAAGAGCGCATTGCAGGGCGCAGCATCCTTAAGACCATTCCGCATAATCACATCATCCAAAACATTCCAAGCAAGATCTGTATTTCTACTCCTACAAAGCATGGAGATCAATTGCGTTAATGTAATAGGATTAGGAACAACATGGTGTTCACCAAATTCGGCGACCAACCCAGCGAATTCATCTTCCTTCACTCTCCCCTCCGACTCATTTAACTTCAAAAATTTAGTGAAATTAATATGATTAGGTCGAAACTCCGAACCTGGAAGAAGCATTTCGTCGAGCACATTCAATGCACTGTCGAGTCGCCCAGATTTCAGAAGCAAATCAATGATTACATTACGAACATTTGTGTTTTTTGGTGTGTGAATCAAATTTGGAAAACGCAGCAAGCGCTTCATCAACCATGCCAGCCCTTCCAAGGCGCCGAAGAAGATGAACAGCATCGTGGGCTGTTGGGCGAGACATTCTGCAATTTTGTTGTCTCGTAAGGCTCAAAAAATCAAATCAAGTGAATAGAGCTCTCATTCAAGATCAAACGTTAAATAAAAATACTAAATTAATTATAAATTTTTTTTAAAAAATAAATTAAACTTTCCTTTTATTTATTTTTTTAAAAAAATCCACGTGGGAAAATTATAAAAGGAGGATAATTTATGGTTTTTTTTTTTCTTTTTCTTTTTAAACTAAAACCCTAGTCCCCGCGAGTTTTCTTCCAGCCGGCACACCTCTTGTTCACGGCGACGGCTGTAACCACGACAGCCGCGCGACCTCAGGCCTGAGCCGCGCGATTCCGGCGACTTTAGGTTTGGATTTTTCATTTCGACACCAACCAGCAAAATAAAAAAATCGATACATCCTTTGGTTCTTACCAAAGCGGAACCAGTTTTTCAGCTATGAATTCGACTCCGGAGAGGTTAAGCTTGCCGTTGCTGCAATCGAAGATGAAGTGTGATCCAGAAGGATACGAGTGTGAGTTGGTTCTGCTCTACAACCAATTTAAATCATCCATGGAGCTCTTTAAACAACAAGCATCTCTTCACTTCACCTCTGTTGGTGGCATTGGTAGCGACCCTTCAGTGGCTAAGGATCTTAGTGATAGGGCGATGTTTTTGGCTCATGTTACTCCGTTCTACTCGAAACATCTTGTTGAATTTCCTAAACAGTTAGCGGATTTGCTCAACTCATCTTCAAAGTCGCTGCCTTCAGGTTTAAGATGCCACATAACGCAGGCTCTTATACTTCTTATGAATCGGAAGGTAGTGTTGGAATTTTGAACCCAAATTGGTTTTCGTACATTCTTTCTTTTTGTATGTGGATGAATAAACTTTCTGTTAAAATATTGAAATTTGGAGAGCTATACCTCCAAGAGTTGCAAATGTATAGATCGAAGTTTACGTATGAGCTCTTATTGGAAGTGCTTCTGCATTTAAAGTAGTTAAATTAAATTCACGTCCTTTGTATAATTTTTTTTTCATAGTTGAATTTTTTCTTCCGCTCAGTATTAAATGTAGTGCATTTGTTAATTTTGTTTGGAAATTGCTCTTGAATTTGTTCTTCAGATGGTTGATATCGAGGAAAATCTTGCGTTGTTCATGGAGTTACAGACCTTAGGTGACCGAACATTGAGAAAATTGGCATTTTCTCATGTAATTCACAGCATTAAAAGAATGAATCAAAAGCATAAAAATGAAGCAAAGAATCGAGCTCTCCAGAAAATTTTATTTGCACTACTGCAGGTAATAATTCTTTTTATTTTGTGCTGATGAGAGCATTGAGCTTGAATTGGATGGATGATAAACTTTGACTTTCATTGTAGCAAGAGGATGAAGCTAAGGCCAAGAGATCGCTTATAACTCTGTGTGAACTTCATCGAAGAAAGGTTTGGTTTGATGAAAGAACAGCAAATGCTATTTGTACTGCATGCTTTCATTCATCACCAAGGTATTGGACTTTATTGATTCAATGAAATTCTATTGCTAACTCTTCTCAGAATGATTACAATTCACTTGAACTCCTTAGGATTATGATTGCTGCTCTATCATTTCTTCTTGATTATGAGAAGATTGAAGATGGTGAGGATGATAGTGACGAGGAAAGCAGTGAAGATGATGTGGCTTCTCAATCGCCTCATGTCGTTCTTAGTAAGGAATTGGTTTATAAGGTTGGTGCAGACATAAGCTAGAAAATTATGTAACTTAGACTAAGTTTTTTTTTTTTAATATAAGAAACATGAAATTGTAATATATTTAAAAGAAGAGGCAAAAATGGCCTAGGGGCAGGGGTAGAGTTCACCCCCGACCAAGAACTACACACTACACAAAAAGAAACTGTCAATCCCTAATAATCATTCACATCTGTAGTTACATTTGTGTGTGTGTAAAGCTATCCAGAAAGGGGTTATAATTGGTACAAGATTACCGAAACATCAAAATGTAAAAACTTATCTTCAAATGCTCGTGTTTCTTTCTTTCCTCAAGTGCCACAAAAGCACTCTAACTGAGAATGATTTTTAACTTATTGGAGGCTATTTCAAATCTGTCAAGCTTGAAAGTTTTGAATGCATTATATTTATTTTAAACTTTATTATTATTATGTTTTGGGCATTTAGGCACACAATAAAGGTACATCATCTAGCAAGAAGAAAAAGAAGGCAAAACTGCAACGAGTCATGCGTAGTATGAAGAGGCAGCAACGTGTGTCATCAGACAGAAACAATTCATATTATTCTCCACTTAACCATTTGAAAGATGCACAGGTCTATTTATTTCCATATTTATCTGTACATTCCTATTATTTTTTCTCTGTTTAAGTTCTCTTGGTAGGGTTTGATCGAGTGATATACTGATATGAATTTTTTTTTTAAAAAAAAACTCATTGCACCTGCAGGGGTTTGCTGAAAAGCTGTTCTCTCGACTTCATGCTTGCCATGAACGATTTGAGGTGAATATGCTTACTTTGACTAATTAGCATACATAACCATTTATTTTGGTTTATCATATTTCTTGATCACGTGAAAGGAAATAGACAAATGCCATATTTCTTGATTACTTGTGGGGAAATAGACATGACAAACACTGATTATTGAGTTCTTGGCAAGAAAATGATCACAACACAGATAATATATGGTAAACACATGTGACGTAGTTACTTATTGCATAAATAATCATTATATACATCTTTCCCTGACATATAACACACATTGGGCGGATGGAAAAAAATGATTGAGATTTAACTGAGGAAACAACCCCCTTCCCCCGTCAATAAATAGGAGAAAGTAAACAACACCATTGATAGAATGGATAGAGAGAAAGGTCCCCACAAGTCTGAATGTATTAAACAAAAGGGTTTATGAACCAGCAGAGAACAGCAAATAATGTCTTTCCATGACACGATCGACTAACAAAAACAATAAATGGGCCAAATGTTCTCCTATTACAAGAACTCAAAACTTCGTTACATTTTATTTTAAATGTCAGGTTAAAATGATGATGTTGAAAGTTATTGCTAGAACGGTTGGGCTTCACCGCTTGATTTTGTTAAGCTTTTACCCTTACCTTCAGAAGTATGTTCAGGTACGTAATGTTGTTTTAACGTCCTGAATTGGGTGATTCCTTAACATGTATCTAATGTCGGGTTTATTCATGAAGCCTCATCAACGTGATATCACAAGTTTACTTGCAGCAGCTGTCCAGGCCTGTCATGACGTGGTATGCAACTTTTGATGTTCAAATTCCTATGGCTCCGTTCCACATGGATTTTGTTTTTGGTTTTTGAAAATTATGTTTTTTCCTCTCCCTTTTCTTTACTATGGGTTTCACTTCTCTTAACTAGATCTTTTGAATGCGTAATCAAATTCTAAAAATAAAATAAGTTTTTGAAAACTATTTTTTAACTGTCAAAAATCCGCTTTGGTTTTGAATACTCTTAGAAAATAGATAACAAACAAAAAAAAACTCATCGGTAGAAGTAGTATTCATAAGCTTAATTATATAAAATAAAAGACCATATAGTTATCAAACAAGATCTACAATATAAACTTGTAATTAGAATG